AACACAGTTTAAAAGTTAGACTTTTCAGGAGTAAAATTTGGACACATATCTGTACAAAAAGTTATAAGTTTGAAACTACCTTTAACAAATGACAATTGATGGTAGATCAATTGTTCACTTTAAATGTGGGATTGATAGTTTGTTGTTAATCAAAGGTTTTATGTGATTGGGCAAAAACACATCTATGGAGGCAGAATGCAGATCAACCATGATTTCAATGAATGGTAGAACAGGTTTGAGGGGCTTTTTAAAAAAATTACTTAAGTGAAGTGGGCATTACTGACTAGACCACCATTTATCACCTATCATTCTATGGCATGTTCCTGTTCCTTTGTTTTTATGTAATTTAATGAGGCTGTTTAGATAAGGTAGCCATTGACTAGCCTTTGATTTGAGGATGACATCTATTCAAGTGGAGGCTTCTATTATGGGTCATCACATGACTGAACATGGCAATACGCAATCCCCTTTTCTTTGGGCACATGCAGCTCAATTTCCAAGAGGCACTGGGATCCAGAATACAGGATTTACTTCTTTATTTCCTTCTCTGCTGTTGCTCTACCTCGTAACTGAAGCGCTGGGATTTATGAGTGATGAAACTCGATGAACAAGTTAATGCACATATATCAAAGAATATATGATTTACATGTGTATACCATAAAAGGGTATCTGGAAAAAGGGAAAACAACTGGATGTGTTGACTGAATTTACGTTAAAAGTATCTTTGAAAGTTAATAAAGCATAGATTGTATCATGACAAATCTGAATGACATTGATTGTGATTATGCTGATTCAGACATCTGATGTATAATTTTATCAACCAATCTGAAAAATGATTTACTGAAAAGAATTTCACAAAAGAGTAACAAGCATTATACCAATCCTTCAGAACTGCGTTATGAAGAAAGACTACAGGACTTGAAATTATTTTCATGCAATAAAGCATGACAGAGCATTCATAATGCATATCTTGAAAGTAATGGAAGACAAAAATAAGGAGTAAAACAGACTAGCAGCTTGGATATTCAGAAGAGAACTACAAATTTCAGAAGTCTTTGCAAGATTAATGATTAAAAGATGTATTTGCTTCATAATCTGTGGATATGAGGTAGATCATCAGAAAACAAAACTAATTCTGGCTTAGGAAATTCATAATTTAATACAGATATTAAGTGAGACAAATAGTTGATGTAGACTTAGAACTGGCAAACAGCTTTGTTACTGTCAATACAAACAACGCAGAGAACGTGGACATACTAAAAAGAGGGAAACTGAACAAGTAGTTTACTGATTGATTGATTTATTGTCACGTGTACCGAAACACAGTGAAAAACTTTGTTTACTAGCGGTACAGGCAGATCACAGCAAGGTAAGGATGTACAGATCAAAAAGACTTAGACGCATACAGGTTACATTGCAGATTATATTATTTGAGGCTACAGTCCATTCACCAGTCTGATAATGGCTGGTAAAAAGCTGTTTCTGAACCTGCCTGTGCGTGTGTTCAGGCTTCTGTATCTTTTGTCTGACAGAAGAGGTTGTAGGAGGTTATTACCAGAGTGCAACGAGTCTTTGATGATGTTGGCAGCCTTTTCGTAACAGCGAGCCATGTAAATGGAGTCCATGATGGGACTGTGCACACAACCTTCTGTAGTTTCTTACGGTCCTGGGCAGAACAGTTGCCCTACCAGGGCATTATGCACCCGGACAGTATGCTTTCAATGGTGCATCTGTAAAAGTTGGTGAGGGACATTACAGACATGCCAGATTTCCTGAGCCGCCTGAGGAAGAAGAGGTGTTGTTGTGCCTTCTTGACTATCGCATCTACGTGGGAAGTCCAGGACAGGTTGTCGGTTATCGTCACTCCGAGGAACTTGATGCTCTTCATTCTCTCAACTTCAGTTCCATTGATATAGATGGGGGCGCGTTCTCCTCCTTTCTTTCTGAAGTCGATGATCAGACCTTTAGTTTGTTAACGCTGAGAGACAGATTGTTTTCATTGCACCACGTCACCAAGCCCTCTATCTCCCTTCCGTATTTTGACTTGACATTATTAGATATCTGTCCCACTACGGTAGTGTCGTCAGCGAACTTGTAGATGGCATTTGTTCAGAATTTGGCAACACAGTTGTATTATACAGAGAGTACAGTAGAGGGCTCCAGTGTTGAGTGTTACTGTGGGGGAGGTGCAGTTACCTATCCTCACTGATGGCTGCCTATGGGTCAGAAAGCTGAGGATCCAATTGCAGAGGGCGTAGCGAGACCAAGGTCACGCAGTTTTGAGATCAGTCTGGAGGGGGTAATGGTGTTGAAGGCAGAGCTGTAGTCAACGAGCAGGAGTCTGACGTAGGTGTCTTTGATGTCCAGATGTTCCAAGGATGAGAGCAGGGCTAGGGATATAGCATCCTCTGTGGACCTGTTATGTCAGTGGGCAAACTGTAGGGGATCGAGATAGGCTGGGAGACTGGAGTTGACATGAGCCATGACCAGCCTCTCGAAGCACCTCATGATTATTGAAGTCAGAGCTATTGGGTGGTAGTCATTAAGGCACACTGCGTGTGTTTTCTTGGGTACAAGGATGATGGTGGTCTTCTTAAAGCAGGTGGGGACTTTGGCTTGGAGAAGGGAGAGGCTGAAGTTGTTGGTGAATACCTTCGCCAGTTGGTCCACACAGGATTTAAGTCCTCGGCCGGTAACACTGTCTGGGCCCACCTCTTTCCTTGGGTTGACTCCCAGGAAGACTGATCTGACGTCTGAAGTGGTGACAGAGGGAACAAGTGTGTCCGGGGCTGTTGGGGCAGGTGACATCATGCTGGTAGTATTCTGCTCAAACTTAGCATAGAAAGCATTGAGTGTGTCAGGGAGGGATGTGTCTTTGTCCTCCATCTTACAGTGTTTCATTTTGTATCTCGTAATGTCGTTTAGGCCTTGCCATAGACAGTGGGAGTCTGTTTGGTAGGTCTGGGCCTCTAACTTGGTCCAGTACTGCTTCTTGGCCTCCCTGATGGCTTTACGGAGGTTGTATGTGGATTTTCTGTATAGGTCCAGGTCACCCGACTTAAATGCTGCACATTTATATGGAAGCAGAAAATGTTGACAAGTTCAAGAAGGAACTAGAAAGATTCTTAGTGAAAGGAAATTGAGGATTGAAAGAGATAAGGATAAATTTTGCAAGGAGCCATGTCGCTTGCAGGACCATTTGCATTAGCTATGCATAGGTCAAAATTATGTTACCCAACCTGTAAATTTTCCTCCATGTTACATCAGAAAATAATAACATTACACTTGCACCTTTTTATATGTGTTGTCTGTGTATGAGATCCTACCAGTGGAGTGGATATTCATAACATTTGTGTATAGAACCTTTTGAGCTATGGGACTACCAGTCACGTCGATTACAGTGGCCTTTCTGGTCCTAGACATTCTTGGCTTGTCCAATACATTGCAGCTTCACAGCAAAATTTTCTAGATATTCTGCAGGTTTTATTACTTAATTTGTTTTAGTCTTGATTTTGTGTTTAATTCACAGATCCTGCCAGCAGATGGTTCTAAAGGGCAATAGCCACAAGCAACTTTACTGGTGACTGGCTAGCTGTGAATGGAAGTTCTCCAGCATTCCAAAGGGACCACCTGCAAAGTCATGTCTACAACTGATTTGCATCAAGCAGTCACACATGCACAGTACGCAAGAAACACACTGGGATCTCTGCAGTTTTAAAGGAAAACTGTCACTTTTTTTTGTGTTAAGTGCCTCAGAATGGGTATTTCTCAAAATAGTTTGAAACACATTCTTAACTTACACATATAGTTGTTACAAAGTCACATTAAGGATCAAAATCAATACAACATGCCATAAACGTTAGATTTTTCTGCTTTCTCATTCAACCTCAGATGGAACATTGATATTTTTCATTTCAAAACTTTTGCACTAAAATATAGATTACTGCATGAGGATCAGGATTGATCAATATTGACCAGAAATCTGAACAATAAATCACATGTGCCTCCCGTTTTCTAAATCAATGTTATAATAACACATTTTTAAGCAGGTTTTTTGGTTACAAAGTATCAACTTAATTGCAATTAACTAAACAATTATTGTAACTCTTTCTGAATAATATCTTGTCTCAAGATTCAATAGCACAAGATCTGAATAAAAACATGGTAAACCTAAAATACTCCTAGAAATTAGAACCAGACTGAGGTCAAATGATAAAGTGGTACCATCTATATATCTCGACCAGATTTTCCAGGTTTGAGTCCACGCCAGTACTTGTTGGCTTTGTAACATAGCCAAGCAGGTTGACGTTAATGCGAAACTCCTTCCATTACATCTGCTGGAAGGTGATAAGCACAGGAGAGTCTCCTAATCAGCAAACCATTGCAACATTTTGCCCATAAGCATCATCTAATCTAGTGGAAATTTACCAACCCAATGCCTAGAAATGAGAATGTGAAAAAAGATGTTGGGACCAGATTAAATTTAAATTTAAAAAATGAATTATATAGTAACAATTTGAAAACTGAAAATTATTTGCAATAATCTGCCAGTAGAATATTGTGGGCAAAAAGTCTAAAATGCTCAAAACAATGTTGGATGCAAACTTGTATTAAATATACTTGAGGGGTGAGCTTCAATGAACCCAGTGACCTTTTCTGGTCCTTGATGTATTATACGTCCTTATACAAAGTCTCTTAAACATTGTCTTGGGTAAGATACAGATGGTAAAGATTCAGAATAAAGTTTACTCTGGTTGAACCAGTGCCACTAACACAATCTTTTACCGCAGCAATGTAATAATTTTGATCCCTCTGGGGAATCCAGGTTGAGACTTGTACCAAAGGGACATGTTACGAAGACTTTAACCCTTGCACGTGGGTTGCAGTGAACCTAAGTCCAACTGGTAAAAGAATAGTCTCTTACCACTGTACCGCCATGTCCCACGTCACTCTCTAACATTTGATAATGGTACATACATAAAAGAAAAGATGACACTGACCTCTAGACAGGATGTATGGATGGGGGATACATAGCTACAAATGTTCTCAACTTCAACTGTATTTGTCTCCTTTATCTGTACGAGCTTGGGCGTATCCTCGCTGGGAGTCTGGTTAAGAGGATGATGGTTGAGGATGTCATCATCATAGTAGTTACATCTCTATAAAACAATACAAACACATCATTGTTTATTAGATTCTGGTAATATGAAAACCTTAATATTTCGAGATATAAGCCCAAAACTTATTTGTAACCAATACTTTGAACAAAAAATTAGTCTTTAAGCCAAACAATGAGCACTTTTACAATTATAAGTTGGTTTCACCATGAAGCTGAACGTAGAAAGTTCTCATTGAATTTAAACTAGCCAATTAAAAAGTAACGCTACAGAAAGTGAGGTTTTCTACATCATAACTGTTGATTTTGTATAATCTCTTGCCTGAAGTATTGGAAATGCATCACGGAGACAGGGGCTGTGCCCATAGGTCCTGAGCAGTGTCAGCTGGAGGTCCAGTGCTTGGAATGGCTGGGGACCTGTAGCAGTGTCGGCTAGAGGTCCAGTGTGGGGAAGCAGCTGGGGGCCTGAGCCCTACGTGGTTAAAGCAAGCCCAGAGTGTCGGTGAGGGAGGCCCTCTGGCATCTGTGGCATTAAGAGCAGGAAACCTGAGGTTCCCTGAACAGTAGGCCAAAGTGAAGAAGACTGAGCCCTTGAAGGGAGTGCACTTAAGAAAGGCTATTGAACTGTTGCCTTTATTCCTTTATTTTTTCACTTGATACTAGGAAGGAACGTAATGTTAACTTTTAACTTTATTTTTCTACTTTAAACCGAAATATGATAATATGGAACTGAATTACCTGATCAAATCAAAGTATGAGCCTGCCACACAGAAACATAGAAAATAGGAGCAGGCTTGGCTATGTAGCCCTTCGAGCCTGCTCCACCATTCAATATGATCATGACTGCTCATCAACCTTAATACCCAGCTCCCCCTTTAGTTCCATACTCTTGGAACTCTTTCGTACTAAGAGCCATACCCAACTACTTCTTGAAAATGTTCAATGCTTTGGCCTCAACCACATTCTGTAACAAAGAATTCCATTCCCTGAGTGAAGAAATTTCTCCTCATCTCCAACCAAAATGGCCTACCCTAATTCCTTAGGATGTGACCCATAGTCTGGACTCTCCCATCATCAGCAACATTCTTCCTCCATTTATCCTGTCTAGTCCTGTTAGAAATTTACAGGGTTTTACGAGATTTCTCCTCATTCATCGAAACTCAAGTGAATATAGTCCTAATCAATCCAATCTCTCTTCATACATCAGTCTTACCACCCCAGGAATCAGACTGGTAAACCTTTGTTATACTCTCTCAATACCCAGGAAATCTTTCTTCAGATAAGGAAACCAAAACTGCACACTGTACTCCAGGAGATGTGGTCTCGCCAAGGCCATATACAATTGTAGCAAGACATTCTTGGTCCTGTACTTGAATCCTCTTGCTGTGAAGCCCAACATATCACTTGCCTTCTTCACCACCTGCTGCACCTGCATGCCTAATTTCAGCAACAGGTGTACAGGAAGACCCAGGTGTCATTGCACCTGTTCTTTTCACAATTTATCACCATTCAGATAATAATCTGTCTTCCTGCTTTTGCTACTAAAGTGGATAACTCGGTTGAATGCGGCATTAATGTCAAACGCTGTCACCGTCACCTCTGGAATTCAGTGCATGTGTCCATGTTTGAACCAAAGCTGTAATGAGGTCAGGAGCTGAGTGGCCCTGGTGGAATCCAAACTGGGTGTCACTGAGCAAGTAATTGATGAGTAAGGTGCTGCTTGATAGCACTGTTGATGCACCTAATATTCCTAGACATCCAGATCACCTTAAAAGGAACGTGTTGTGCCTGTACTCTCCGCATTTCCTTTTTTAACACACCACACTGTTCTGCTGTAGATTTTCTCACAAGTAACTGTTCGCAGTCCACTTTGGCCAGATGCTGCCATATTTTAATAAAATTTGCCTACCCTCAATCCAAAACCATTTATTTGCAGACCATCACTTTGCTTTTCCATAACAATCTTAAAACATACAGTGTTGTGATTGCTATCAATAAAATGCTCCCCGACTACAGCCTTAACCACCTGTCCAGCTTTGATCACTAAAACTAGGTCCAGCACTGTGCCATCCTGTATTGGACCTTCTATGTGTTGACATAAAAAGATCTCCTGAATACATTTCACGAAATCTGTCCCTCAAAAGCCTTTACATGATGACTATCCCAAGTACCATTCAGGAAGTTAAAATCCTTGAATATAATTATCCTATTGTTATTACACACCTCAGTGAATTGTCGACATATCTGCTCCTCTATTGTCCACTGACTGTGTAGGGCCTTATAATACACTGCCAGCAATGTGGTAGTACTCTTTTTACTCTTAAACTCTACCTACAAAGCCTCAATTGAAAACCCTTTCAAAACATTGTCCCTCCCGAATGTAGTAACAGACTCCTTAATTAATAATGCAACACTGCTGAAGATCCTTTTCCCTGGAAAATTGGGGTGGCAATCCTCCCCTCGTTCAAGCATGTTTCTGTGATGGTGACAAAATCACCATTTAATTCATCTCATCTTACCTCATCTGTCTTACCTATAATACTCCCTTACTCCCTTAAATTATAAGATGGCTGAACTCTCGCTGTCCTGGGTCCTTTACTATATTATGCTGACTCACGTCATCTGCAAACTTGGCAATATTACATTAGTTCACACATCTAAAGCATTAATATATGTTATAAATAGCTGGGGTACAAGCATTGATCCCCCGCTAGTCATATCATGTAACAATGAACAATAGTTAAGCAAGTTCTGTTCTTTGCAATCAGTTCTTCCTATCATAGTAAGTACTTTAAATACTTAGCACCAAAGCTCATAAGGTAGCTCAGCATCATTGAAATTTTCAACCCTTACTTGGAAGTTATAAATCTATTCTAGATTTCCTCATCAAAGGAAATAGAATAAATCAACAGAAGCTATCAAACTTTTCATCACTTTAAAAACTTTGGTTAGATCATCCCTCAATCTTATGTACTAAAGTTAAGACAAGCTGTCGTTGTAGTTTAAACCCACGAGCCCTGTTATCATCACTATCACTAAAGAAACAGTATTACACAAACTGGTGGGGCTAAAGGCAGTTAATTGCCTGTCCCTGATGGCTTGCATCCAGGGGTCCTAAGAGAAGTAGCTACAGAGACAGTGGATACATTAGTTGTAATTTTCCCAAAATCCTTGGATTTCTGGAGAAGTACCAGAGGATTTGAAAAACTGTCAATATGACACTCCTATTTAAAAAGGGAGGGAGCCAAAAAGCAGGTAACTATAGACCTTTTAGCTTAACACCTATTATTAGAAAAGTATTAGAATCAATTATTAAGGAAGTAATAGCAAAACATTTGGAAAATTAAAGTCTATTCAAGCAGAGTCAGCATGGCTTCATGAAAGGGAAATTGTGTCTGATTAATTTATTAGAGTTTTTTGTGTAAGTCTCAACCACAGCGAATAGAGGGGATCCAGTAGATGTATTGTACTTGGACTTCCACAAGGCGCTCGTCAAGGTATATCACAAAAGGTTAAGTCATAAGATTAGGACCCACAGTATTGGAGGCAGTATAAACACATGGATACAGAATTGGCTAATGAGCAGGAGAAAGCAAGTAGGGATAAAGGGTTCTTTCTTAGGTTGGCACTGCAACTGTTTACAATATTTATTAATGACTTGGAGGAAGAAGGTGAATGTACTGTGGGTAAATTTGCAGACAACACAAAATTAGGTGGAAAGGCAGGTTGTAAGAGTGATACAAAGAGTCTACAGACTCGTCAGGCAGAAGATACAGAAGCTTGATCACACGCACTAACAGGTTCAAGAACAGCTTCTTCCCTGCTGTTACTGGACTGCTGAATGGACCTATCTAACTTCAAATAATGTTGAGCGTGCTCATGCTGATCTGTCTTTGTGCAGCCGTAACCTTGTATGCCTCGCTCTAAGTACTTTATGATCTATATGTCCTTGTTTGCTATGGCCTGCCTGTACTGCTTGCAAAACAAAGCTTTTCACTGTACTTAGGTACATGTGACTACAATAAATCAAATCAAATATTGAGAAGCTAAGTAAATGAGCAAAAAGTTGAATGATGGAGTATAATGTGTGAAAATATGAAGTTGTTCATTTTGGAGGGGAAAAAAAAAACAGTTATAATTAAATGAAGAAAAACTGAAGAAAGTTACAGAGCAAATGGACTTGGGGTACTTGTGCACAAAACACAGAAAGCTAGCACATAGGTGCAGCAAGTAATGAGGAAGGCTAATGGAAAATTGGCCCTATTTCAAGGTGGTCGGAGTATAAGAGTCTGGAAATCTTACTGCAACTGTACAGTAAGTATTACTGCAACTGCTGGTGAGACCACACCTGGAGGGTTATGACCAATTTTGATCCCCTATTTAAGAAAATGTATTATTTCATTGGAGGCAATTCAAGGAAGGTTCACTCGGATGATCCCTGGTATGGAGGGTTGTCTAACCTTACCAGTACCCACACAGTAGGAAGGAGTACAAAGGGAGAAATACTGAAAGACTGTCTGAAAGGTAATCATGGGGGATTTCAATCTACATATAGAATGGAAAAATTCAATATCTAAACATAACCTATCTAAAGAGTTCACAGAATTTTTCAGGATAATTTTACTTAGAAAAGCATGTCCTAGAGACAAGAGAGCAGGCTATACCAGATCTGGTATTGTTCAAGGAAAAAGGATTATCTTGAAGTGAAGGCACCATTAGGTAGTAGTGATCATAATAAATCTTAATTTTGCATTCAGTTTAAGGGAGAGAAGATGGGATCCAAGAATTTTAAACCTAAATAAGGGCAATTATGAAGGGATGAAAGAAATGCTAGCTAAAGTGAACTTTAAAGGAAAATCAACCTTGGAGCACGAATCCTAAAATGTCAACTGAAACACTGAAACAGCTGGCACTTTAATTCCAAATATTATTTTTGGACAGTTCATTTACAGCTTTAGCAGTCCTGATTATAATCTCAGTCATCAGGAAAGTGATAGGTCGAGTCACTAACAATGCTATTAAGCAGAACGTTCTCAGTGATGA